TCGGAAATGTGATAATCCTACGGCAGCTCATGCCTCTCATGTGTAATTACTTTCCATTCCTTCCGTGTATTTCTATATTAAGTCGAACCTTGTGCTGTGGTCAAAGCTAAAACTCCATAAGTAAGCCTGACCTCCCTGGAACCCCGGAAACCACATTATCCCATCATGTGGCCCCCGTGTTGCCTCCAGCTATGGCTAATGTCGTAGGTGATTGGTTGGTATAGCCCTGACGGCACTGGCAAGAGCCATGGACGGGAGTAAACTTATCAATCTGTGATGATTCAGTCGTTTAGCCGGGGGGGGGAGGAGGAGCAGAGAATTAAATCAACTCCCGACTTTGAAGTTGGAAAGATCTGGAAACATTGTCAGTAGACATTTGTAAGAGCACCGTTAGGCCCCGCCTGGCTCAGATATCAGCTCGGGAGACGCAATGAAGGGAAGAGTCACCCTCTGCTCACTTGTGCATTGGGGTGGCACTCATCTCGATGTTGTGGCCCTGAGCCAATGTTTGGAATTGTACATTCTCATGGCAGGGGCAGTCTGTCAATACAACGGCCGCTGTCAATTTCCCATTAAGTGGCACTATTTTGGTGACCCCGGAGGGGTGATGGTCCGAGTGAATCCTCGATCGTAAACCGTGAGGGTTGTGAATCAAGCGCTCCAACCTGCAGTGCCACCGGTCGGAGTGCTGTGTCGAGTTACGACGGCGTGTGTCACCATCATCTGGACTTGATGAGACAGAAGTGAGAATTTTTTCACGAAACCCATTCGACTCACGATGTGAAACCTGTGGAGCGATGGTCGAGTTGTTGATAGTGCGCCGCGCTATCAACCTGGTGACCCAAGTGCAATTCCCAGCGATGGTTCACGTCAGTGGTGAGATCTTTACTGCCCCTTGGCGCTCCCACTTTGCCAAGCCGCACCGACCAGCATGGTGAAGTATGGTCACACATCCCCCATGACCAACATATCCGTGGGGAGATTCTTTGTTTCCGCAGTGGACTGACAAAGGGCTGTGAATGTAATATTATCTTTTTTAAGATAAGCCCTGCACTCATTAATATTCTCCGGCTATAGCTTTCACTCAGCATTAAAGACGCATTGTTCATTTCTAATTGCAAGCACCCTTAATTTTCCTTTGACACAAATGTACTCAAATACTAATTACAAATTTATTCACCTTAATTAAACAGTTTTCTAAAAAGGCTACCCACGTAATTTTACGGATATTTTTTATTACCATTTTATTATTTGCTTTCGCAGGCACTCACAAAACAACACCGCGCGGAGACCGCGCAGAAGTTTGTTAAATTAACAAATTAATTTAGAAAATTGTTTTCCCTTTCGCCAGCAAGCACCCACCCAGCAGATTTAGAAATGAAAATGTTTGCGGAACGAAAGCGAGGGGGTCGTTTCTCGTGGGGGGGGGGGGGGGGCGGCCGGGGGGGCGGCTCTCCCGCCGGGGGGGCCGAGGCGGCGAGCGCTGGGGGGCTGTTTGGCTCTAACCCCCTCCCCCCATGCCCCCAGGTTCAGTCCCTGCTGAGCCAGATTCTACCTTCAATCGATCGGCCCTTTGGTTGAGGGGCCCGATGAAAGTCTGTTGGGGCCTGTTGAGAGGTGATCTCCCTTCATTATCTTTGCGAGAGCATAAAGCGCTGCTCCAGACCGTCTCAGGAGTCGGCCCGGCTGCACTGTTGTGTTTGTGCTACAACCAGCGTCGGTCATCGTCATCAGCATCATCGTTATCATCGTTATCATCGGCATCAGCAGCATCGGTGGCGCTGGTAAACATTCTTTATCCGCTTCTGGATGCACTCTGTAGGTCACTCTGTATTGTCACGTTTTTCTAATCGTGATTTGTTTTAGCAGCCATTGATAATGCTTTTGTCAATCCACCGCTATTTTACTGCTGTGTTACTGATGTCCTTTATTGAGCCGAGAGAGCTTTTCTGAGTGCCGGTGCAGGAGGGTCCTGCACTGGCACATTTGGCCAATTCCGTTCACGAGTGCTTGTGGGAGGGGTTTGGGAGAATCCGGAGAAACTCCACCACACCCGAGGAGGGTTAACACTCGAAGCTTCTGCACAGATTGATTCAAGAAATCCATTGCTATACTGCCATCTCTTGACCGTCTCGTAAGCCTCATGTTCACGCGCTTGGGATGTGCGGAGGACATCGCTCTGTGTAGATTGACCACTGCTGACAAAGTGGCTCTGGGTCGCAATGCACCGAGGCAGTCCCCGACGGGGATTTAAACTCACAGTACAACACAGTTTGGGTTCCTGAAGCATCTGGGACTGCGCGTCTCGGGGTGCTGAACGGAACCGTGGGCATATTTATTTATATAGAGAGAGAGACGCAGTCAGTCAGCAGAGGAATAAAGGAAGGTCTTGAGCCTGGACTTGAACGGAGCAGGGAGTCAACAGCACAGACGGCTGGGGTATAAGGGGATCCAGGCCCTGGGGAGGAAGTAGAGGAGAATGAGTAAATATCGTAATCCATCCCCTTTCCAAATTGAGCAAAATATTTTTCTTGGCGGCTTCGGTTGTCAGCGGCAAGCTCCAACCGGCGCCGTGTCGGGGCGGCGGCCTGGACGGATTAACGAAATAGAAAATATTTTTTCAAACTTTTATATAAATATTTTATATCAACAACTGCCCATTATAGAGCAGTGTGGCACCACCCGCGGAGGCTTCATCACAGCTGGCACGCTCTGCTGGGTATGTCACGTGGACGAGGGAGGATGAAATCGCGCAAGCCGCCTCGCCCCCGTCTCCTCCGCGTTGTGTCACCCCGAGATCGAAGGCGCGGCAGCGCCGTCGTTAGCGGCCAGGCGAGCGGTGCGCTGGACCGTCACCTAACGAGACGCCGGATTAAACGGGGTGGCTTTCGTTTGCTCCGCTTGGCTGAGTCGGCCGGTGGCCCGCGCCTGCCGCCCCGGGGGGAGATCTCGGCGGAGAGCACCGGGTGCGGGCACCGCGTGTGCATGGTTGGGGCCCGCGCCTGCCAGCGCTGGCTGCTCATTCATTTACGCGAGCAACCCTCACCACCGCCCGGTGAGCTAGCGGAATGCAGCGCGGCACCGTGAAGGTGCCGTGAATACGTTGCGTTCAGAGTTGGCCGTGTTAGTCCACGGTTGGCACCTTGCTGAAGCTCGGTGCGGGCATGCAGGGTGCGTGGCGCACGTTCGCTTCACTTCCGTCGTAAAGGGCCACGGTCAATCCACTGCTGGAGGAAGGGCCCCTCTCCCCAAGTGCCAAAAGGTTAACAATTCACCCAGTACCCGCACGCCAGCTGATTTCGTCGCTACATCTCCTCGCTCAACGGGCGAGGTGGCGACGTCCGAGCACTGAGCCATCCACAGTTGATATCCTCGGTTGGATTCTGGGTAACCAACCCCCACAGTTCTCAAGTGTGGAGGAGGCTCCTACGGTGTCAGCCCAGTCCACCGATGATGACAACGGAGCGATCCAACACCGCTGTTTAGTTTGGCTCAGCGCGGCTCTGCGGACTAACGTGATTAATCGCACCGGATGGTCGTCATGTGGCAAAACAGTCTTCGTCTTCTTTATTCCGTACGGCTGCTGAAGCAGATGCAGAGCAGCAATGACAATTTCACATTTAGGCGGTGAAGCCCAGATAACCACGGCGTCAGGAGTATATCATACCTGTGACGTCTCAGTGTCACGTGGGGGTTCATTACGATCGCGAGATACTCGCTGTTCAGTTGAGGCATTCCTTGTCCCGGGGCCAATCTGGCGTGTCGTTGTTCAGGGTCACTGGCGTGGCTCGTGCTGCTGTCTGGCCCTGAACAGGGCCACTGGCGTGGCTCGTGCTGCTGTTGCTCTGGAGACCGGGAGATCGACGGCGTTCATCGATCTCCCACTCAGCAGCGCGGGGCCGCGTGCAGGCTGCTGCTGCTGCCAGCTCCACTCCGGCTAAACAGTGGAAGCCGCCGTGCCTGGGGATGGAAGGGCGCCCTCTAGCGCCGGAGTGTTTGAAGCGCCGCCGTAATTCGTTCACCGGCGTTGTCCTCCAGGACCCTTGCATAGAACGACGACGACACGTGCGAGGAAGTTCAGGGAGTTGACGTTTCTGCACACGAGGACATTGACTTTGTTTGGCGCAATGAGGCGTGATTGCCCTTAACACTTCACAAGAACAACATGCTTACAGTTGTCGAGATGCACACGCAGGGAGCCTTTTTTCGTCAATCCACAGCTGGATGAGGGCCTCCACCAAGTCATGCGGGTCCTAGGGGCTATGTGACCATACTTCACCACGCTGGTCAGTGCAGGTTGGTCGAGGTAGGCAGCGTAGGCGTGAGAGGATAGTGCAATACAACAAGCGATGTTGCCGCACTGCCATCTGACGACGCATCATCATCCGCAGTTGCCTGTAGCACCTGTTATGCATGGTGGTTGCCCATTGAAGCACCAACCAGGCTCAACGCCTGCTTAGCTTCCGACACCTGATGAGATTGGGCGCATTCTGGGGAATTTCCCGCACCTCCGAGAAGCACGCTTGGCAACGTACGGTGCGAAAGACGTTCACCTTAAGTTACGTACGTGACTTGGGCGTAGGCGAGCTCGCTTTAGAAGCCTGCATTATTAATGCGCCGTGTAAAAAATGAGTTGAGTGGAGTTATTGCGTTGTAAGACGTGAGGTGAAGGAGTGAACTATTCTTGTATCGATCTGCTGTCGGGACGGGTGACTTTGTGTGCTTTAAACTTCTGCGCATGCCACAAATGCAACACCGCGCGGCGGGCGCACGCATCGCAAAAGGACATCCGCACCGCACCGCATTACGACAGCCTCAATTCGGCGCGTTGCCGTTTACGAGCGTCTTGAATGATAGCGCTATCACAGCGTGCGGCAAACAGAACCCCTTGTGCGTCCCGTTGAAGTCTCACCGGGCTCCAAATGAAGGGATTTGTTTTGACCGACTGATTGAATCGTCCCTCTTTGTGCCTCTTCTGTCTCCCCCCCCGCCACCCGCAGATCAACAAACAACAGCTCCAGCAAGTGAAGGATCGTTTCCAGTCGTTCATCAACGGAGAGACGCAGATCGTGGCTGACGAGGCCTTCTGTAACGCCGTGCAGAGCTACTTCGAGGTACCGGAACAAGCCGACAAACAAACTCCCCCCATCTTGTTGCATGCTGCTCCTAACAGGATCTAAAATTTAAAATGCGCTACGGGTTTCCCCCCCCCCCCCCCCCGATACGTACATTTACTGTGCTCTGCAACCGTCACCCGTGCTGGTGTGGTGTTCGCATACGCGCGCACGTGCGTGTACGGCACATTTAGTCAATCCACTGCTGGATGACGGCCCCTTCCTCAAGCCGTTGTGGGTTGCTCGGCGATAACTTCACCACGCCGGTAACTTCACCACGCCGGTAACTTCACCACGCCGGTCAGCGCGGGTGGGTGACGCGGGCCGAGTGGCTCGCTCAAGCGTCGTTTGGCAGTGATGTTCACCACGGCCCGGAATCGAACTCCGGTCACCATCGGATTCGGCGGCGCAGAGCGCCAACCGCTGTACCACACATCCAATTGACGCGACTGAGCGATCCACCGCAAAGGTTTACAATCTATTAATGCCTCATCTGCCAGCCTGCACCTTCACTCTGCGACCAGTGTAGGCGATTGATATTCTTTGTTTTTATTTCACCAAACCTCGCTACATGTTGTGGATGAACCGACAAGGGTGACTGGCGGATGCCCCAACTGCACGCCTCACTCTGCCAGATTGCTTTGTTTGAGGCCTGTGACACTTACTCGGCTCTCTGTTGTGCGAGCATCGCTCCTGCACCTGCCGTTGTTGCAGTCAAAGCCACACGCACGCGCACGTACGCACACACACGCTGCAGTGTGCCGTGGTAAACGTGTCAGGCTCAGAACAGCACCAGCTGTCTTGTGTTTCAACGCTTCCTGTCTGCTGAGCGTAGTCCAGCTGCCCTTCCCGCAGACACCTTTACACACAAACAGGCCGTTGGGTCGAGTGCTGTTAGCGAGCACCTGTGAAGGCCAGCGCAGCGGACCAAGCGGTGGGTTGTAACAAGCACCACGCCCGGCCACTTCTGTCTACCCCCGGGCTGATGTTTCCACATCGCGCCAGTTTCTCATTCGAGACTTGAGTCTACATCGTGGAGGCCCGGGACTATTTCAGACCTTCGTCGCTGACGGTGGCCGCGAGCGCAGCGCAGTTTAGGCGAACACAGATCGACAGACGCGCCGCGCCCGTACACGTTGCAAACATTGTGTCACGAGGTGAGATAACGGCTGAGAAATCAAGACCCGAAGCCCGGGCAGTATATCTTTCACGTCCAGAGTGCTCGGAGATAAGGCGCTGTCGGCGGGTCGCAGCGCGACCCGTCTTTGTGTACGCAGATAAAATTAGGTTTCCTTTTGAAGTGGCTTTGAAAACATAAATGAAATGTTCAGTTGTTCGGCTGAGAGTGATTAGTGAGAGCCGTGCGTGTGTTCGTGCGCAGGCAAAATATTTTTTTCAAAGCCTCCCTCAAATCTCGTATCTCTCCGAGCCATCCACGTGCGCACAGCCTGCGTGTGCGCTGCTACATTTGCCGATAGTGTGAGGCGATTTAATAGCGAGCATGTCGAATCCAGGTAGACACAGGCGACGTGGCAGGCGAACGTTTGCGTATGACGGGCAGCTTGGAAACGACCCGGCTTGTACCGTTGGCGTCTGTACAGCGAGAGGCGGCCGATGGGGCCGTGACGACAGCATGTGTGGTCGCGTGCCGCAGCCAATGTGTTTAGCTCTCCTATACTCTGCACCCCTCACGTGCTCTGGGTATTGTTTTGTTGTTGTAACTTTGTGACCCGCCCCTCATGGACATCTGGGGAATAAAAGAGCTTCATAGCTCATTGGATTTCTCGAGGATAAATTAAGATTCTGATTCTGAATACGTAAAGAATTTTTGCCAAACATCCTACACACAGGACCCTCCTGAATACAAGTCTTGAAACTCATTCATCAAGGTAGGAGTGGTACGAATGAATGTTTTGTGTTGTATAGTTTTACTTCACACTGGGACGTATCTCTGAACAGAAAGGAGAGTCCTATCAACATGCCAGACTCCACTGATGAAACACTGAATATCCAGAGTTTTGTTTGTGTTGAACCGATGCTGCTGAAATTGTGCACTCCCAGAAGGCCGTGTGTGGCTGATGGGATGTGTTAAAAAAAATACAAAAAGGTGGAGGGACAGATATGTGAAGGAGACGTATCGTCTGATTGTTGGCTGCTTATATTCTCCAGAATAACAGCAATGATGAGTTTTTGTTGCGAAAATTCAAGGAATATTGTGATTGTAGAGGTTTAGTTTTTATTCAAAAGCACATTTGAGTTGAATTTTTTTAAGACGCTGATATTCTCTTTGTACGTAGAGTGTACAGTCATTCTAATACTCCTTGTGATTTAAAATTTCTGTTCTTACGGAATCCCAGTTGAACTCTTGCATCTTTAATTACCCATGTTGATCATTCCTATTATACATTTATTATTAAAGCAATATTTTCATGAGAGAGTTTGAATGACTGCATCAGTTGCTCATGAATCAATTGCCTTAGCATCTTTAAAAAAAGCTATCCATAATGGTAGTGTGATATTTATTTGACCTTTCCAGTATCTGATTTACGAGAAGGCCGTCGGCCAATGGTAGACAAATCTGTTCTCGGCGCAGCGTGTGCTTGTGGCCTGTCCGTTATTCAGTCCTCTTTGCATTCCGTGACCTCGGGTCTGTAATGGGGCGAAGTCTCAAAGTCTCCAAGTTTCCCTTCCTCAATGGAATAATAATTGAAGCGTCGTAATTATCATGTTCACAATAAATGCATTTTTTTTCTGCAACAGCATTCAAACGCCACATTCGCTAATACCCTGGGGTGAGATGGATTACGGCATCACTAGGATCATGACGGATGGCAATGACGTGGGGAGGCCTTCAACCAGCAGTGGATAGAACATGAATGATAACGATGGCGATGATGAGTATGATAATTTGGTTTTAACCTGATTTATTTTATGTTTGCCAGATTTCATATTCTCAGTGGTTTTGCCTCTCATTTGCAGGTTTTGTCCATGCTCGCTGTTGGTTTTTTTCAAGTTACTCGCATGAGTACGCTCAATTAGGGAATTTGCCAAATATGTAAATGTGTCCTTCTACAAGAGATTGAGCCTCTCCTGGTTAAATATTTCAAATTATGTCCAATGGTTTCATTTTTCCATGAGTTACAAACAAGAAATCCATTGTTAAGTGTTTTCCAGTTTTTTCACGGCTTGTGTGGGCCCTCCTCTTAATTGAAATCGATGAAGGAATTAATTGATCATTAGTAATGCGTTGACTGCTGTTACGTTGGACACGGTGTTACTGGATGAGCCTAATGGCGAGTGAGGCAGCTGCAGTGGAGGAACGTGTTACTGTGATCTTGTAGGAGCCCAGTAATTACACTATTGAAACTTTTTATTTTACCAGGTCAAGCCCACTGAACTATATATATTTTTCAGAAGCGAGCTGGACACAAATGATCGCTCGACGAAGTGGCTTATCATCTGGCAATTTTATAGCAGCCAAATATTCTAAACGCAAGTTGATTCTAAATGTGGAGAGAAAAACCGGCGGACCCGGAGAAAAATCCACACGACCACCAGGAGAGAGACACGTAGACTCCAAATATACGGACGTCAGGGTTGGGATCGAACCTACGACCTACTGCATACCAGGCGATGGGAGTTAACACCTCGCCACCGTGGCGCCCTAATGATTCCCATACAGTTGGCGTCCCATTCCTATTCGCGGCCATCCACGTGGTCTGCGTGCCGCGTGGACTCGGGAAGCAAGGTGACTGCTGGCACGCGAACCTGCACGGGGCTCCAGCGCTCCCGTGGCCCCCTGCCGCTCCACACCGCTGCCGACCAATTTAGTTCGACGTTCTTTCCCCCCCCCCCCACACCCCCCAGACAACAGTTTTTAACCCCAGAGGTTTCGTTCTGAATTGAGATTGATCCAAGCGCGCACACTCAGCCTCAACGGCTGAGCCTCGGCATTCACCGTCATCATTAACCGACGGCTGCCTTATACATAATTGAGAGATTACGCGTTCCGAGTGCCTTTGCCACTCCCGCCGGCATGGTTGCTGAAATGCGCTTTGCCCTTTGACCCCACGATATCGGCTGTGCCCCATTAGACCAGAGTCATTGTCAAAGAAGGGGTTTGGCTCAGTTGATTGACCTTAGTTTAACTGTGCATGAGCTCATTAAGAAAATATCACTTTTTTTTTTGCAAGGAAGACGTGTTAAGTAGGTAATGACAGCAGACACAAGGGAACCGTGTACACAAATTATGTTTACAATGTCAGAAATGAAGGGCGTTTCACAGGCATCAGCTTTCTACGAGAATCGTCTACATCATTGACATTTCGAAAATACTAAAGGATCTTAGCAAGTGAGTTGTACATCAAAACAAGTGTAATGGATGGAGAGATAAGTAGCTACTCTGGCTGCAAAATGCCTATAATACAAGAGTAATGGAACTTGTTTGAAACTTGTTATTTGGAATAGGCAAAACAAACTCACGTATCACTCCAACAATGTAACATTACTAAAGTGCAAGGCTGAAACGTTAGGAGCCATGGTTTGCAGCATCACAGCATGGTAGGCAATCAATAGTGTTGGCATCAACAGACCTTTAACAATCTATCATTGCGCTGGGAATGGATTTTGATGATGATAATGACGACAATACTGATGATAGTGATTGTAGCATTCAAAAAAGGTTACTTGTATAAGGGCTTTAAAATATGTATATATAATTATTACTTAATAATCAGTCCTTGTTTAATGTTTTATTTTATTAGGCGCGAGCTCCATTAACACGTTGTCGTCATCGCCTTTGGCAAGATGTCACCCTGGCTCTCGGTTGAAGCTTCGCGGGTTCACGCTGAGCGTTCGTGCAAGCGACGGGGAAAGTTTGCGGCACTCATTATTATGTTGGGAGCACATCCGTGCCCTGCCGGTGTTACGGCTGTGCGCGGTGCGCGCTGCCTCGCACAGATACAACGCGCCGAGCTGATGGAACGCACGCCAATGGTCGG